GAGCGCTTTTAGGAGTGAGACATCTCTCGGGTATAGTTCCACAGTGCGAAGAGATCGATAGAGTCGAAAGCAGCCCTAAAGTCTCAAAACACGACAATGTTTTGTCGTCTGTATGCGTGGCGATGTTCTAGTAGCTGACGGAGGGTGAAGATTTGATCCATGCAACAACGGCGTGCACGAAACCCGCCCTGCTCCTCGCGGATTTGCTTCCCACGGAATCGGTATAACCTGAGTATTAAAACAGACGCTAGCAGCTTCGGTGCTATTGCAATCAGACTTCTGCCCCTGTGGTTGGAACAGGCGTTGCGACAACCCTTCTTGTAGATGGGTGTGACAATCGATTCTCTCCATGTGTGGAGTACACTTTCAGTTTCCCAGATGCTCGAGAACAGTCTCACAAATTCTCTTACGAGAGCATCTCCACCATCTTTAAAGAGGGCAGGTGACAGGTCGTCTGATCCAGCTGCCTCGAGACGTTTTACGACTGGAGTTCCTTTCGGATCTCCGCTTCTGTGGGCGGTCCCGTGGATAGTGGCTAGAGTACCCTCTCAAAAGAGCTGCTTGGGGCAGCCGGCGCGTGGAGCTGGTTGAACAGCGATACGAAGCGCTCCGCCCAGTGTTCCAATCGTCGGTGATGGCTGTATTTAACCTGCCGACTAATTCGCAGATTGTTTCACTAACGCACTGTCTTTTGGGGCCTGTAGCACGGATGAGCTGGAATAGTTGCCGGGTGTTTCCACACCCAGCCGCTGATTCCATTTCCTTTGCACGTAGCGTCCACCAGGCCTCTCTGTCGTCTTTCAAACTCTTTGTGAGTTCACTCTTTAGGGAGAGGCGCTGTTCGTTGTACTCACGGTCTGTCAGGGTTGCCCGATGCGCATCGAGGAGTCTGAGAGAGAGCTGGAGGAGACCTAGTGATGCGCAACTCGGCGGGTTAGGCCACAACTGTGTAAACCGGCTGAATGCATTGCGTTTTGAATGGTTGTCCACTGTTGATCTACGCTACATGGTGGGGTAGTAGTTAGCCTTGCGGTCAACTCTTTTTTGATAATCGGCAATTACGGTCGGGTCAGAGAGCTTGACGACGTCGAGTTGTTTGCATTGCATCTTTTTGCGGCCACCAAAACGCATAGACAACTTGACACAAACCAGTGCGTGGTCGGAGTCCAAGCAGGTAGACCAATACGAACGGCA